CCTTTACAATATTATTATAACATGATCAGAACATTTATGGTAAATGGAAACGTAACAGACAAGAAAAAAACGTATACGAAACTAGTCTATTGACTATACTTATTCCATAGATTTTAATTTGATTCAAGCATTAATAAAAATTATATCAATATATATAGCAATAACCAAAAAACGTATCTCAAACTCGGTCAACTTCGTAACATCTGCGTTGTTTATGTAAAAAAAGAAAAATAGCACCAAGTTATACAGTAATATAGTAACAATAACAAATTTTAATACTAATAAAAATAATTGTTAATAAACTAATGTTACAGTAATTTAAATAACAAATTGGCTGGTTTTTCCAGATACAATGTAAATTAAAAAAAATAATATAATAATAATAATATATAACATCATATCATATTTTAGTATTTATTTCATTTGCTGTATTTGTTATGTAGTAGAAAGCGTAGGATTCATAACAAAACGAAAATAAAAACAATAACAAACTTTAATACTAATAAAAATAATTGTTAATAAACTAATGTTACAGTAATTTAAATGACAAATTGGCTGGTTTTTCCAGATACAATGTAAATAAATAAAAATAATAATATAATATTAATATTAATAATAATAATATATAACATCATATCATATTTTAGTATTTATTTTATTTGCTGTATTTGTTATGTAGTAGAAAGCGTAGGATTCATAACAAAACGAAAATAAAAACCGTCCGATAATATTAATTGCTGGTTTAGTAATAATAGTATTAATTTTATTTGCTTTGAAGTAGCCTGTTGTTACTTATTAGAAATACAACAAAACATAAATAAAAAGTATGACAAACCGATTGACGAACTTGCAATGATAAGTAGGCCTAGTTATATTAAATTTATCGTTTCGAAACTCCATTGGCGTTCCATATATTTGTTGAAAACAAACCGCGACCGAAACGAAGCGTGACCGAAATGATCTGTATTCAAATCGATTACTTTAGGCGACATTTGTGACCGGTTGAGCCGCCGGTCATTTCCATGGAACGCCAAGTGCGTCTCTCAGTGAATGTAGTGCGTTAATTGCGGCGTATTTCAATTCCTTATTCGTTCTTGGTACTGTTGTTTGGGATGTATTTCAGTTTATTTACTCAATTATTTCAATTTATTTAATACTCGGTTTTTGCACTGATTTATTAAATATTTTTGGAACGTATTTCAATTTATTTACTTGTTCTTTCTATCGTTTTAATTTAAATTTTGTGAGTATTTGCTCAGTCAGCTTGCCAGATAGTAAACTGTAATAATAGTCTACAATGTATACGGTAATAAAGTTTGATTAGTACTGTACTCCAGTTTTGAAAATGTATCACAAATTGTTGACCCATCTAAATAGACTTTTATGTATTTTAAATATGTTACGCTTCTATTTTTTTAAATATTTTTGCTAATTTGATTTCTGGACCAAAACATTGCATGTGGAAGATGTCTCTACAGCGCTAGGAGTAGTCTGGCTAGCCTTATCCTACTCTAGGCCTAGACTAGCTAGGATGGTATAGGCCTAGTATAAGGACGGGAAATGAAACAACACTGCCACCAACGTAATCAGTCAATGAATTGTCTTTAATGTCGACTATCAATATCAGAACTATTGACAAAGCGATTGACAAAGCGATTGACAAAGCGATTGACAA